ATTTCTCTAGAGCCTTGTTTTTAATCACTGTACTGTATACCCAAGGCCAATTTATACCATAAGCACAGGGACTAGGGCCCACAATACTTTTAGGGTTCCCAAAGATGTTTTAATATCTAATATTCATATATCTATATTTATACCAAGTCATAATATAATTTTAAGCATCTTTTATAGAGGGACTCATGAAGTCATAGCTTCCCAACTGGTATGAATAGGTTACAAGTCTTCAAAAATCCTGAAAGCTATTTATAGACATACAGTATGCCCCCTCTTATGATGGTTAATTATATCCATTAACCTGAGTGGGCCATGAAGTATCCGGATACTTGATTAAACTTTACTCTGGGTGTGCATGTGAGGGTGGTTCTTGATGATATTACCATTCAGGTTGGTTAAGTGACTATAGCAGACTGCCTTCCCTAATTTGAGTGTCATCCATCAACTGAAGAACTGAATAGAATAAAAGGCTAGTTAAGAGGGCACTTGTCTGATTTCTTAAAAATTGATATCTAAAAAATTGATATTTAAGTCTTTGGGTTGAAACTGAAAACTTAGCTCTTCTTAGATCTCAAGCCTGCAGGTTTGTGAACTGATACCATTGACTCTTCTGTTCTTAGGTCTTCAGACGCTGACTGGAACTATACCATTAGTTCCCTTGTGTCTCCATCATATGACAGTTTCAATCTCCAATAAATTCCCTTTTGTCTAGCCATACATACACATCTTATTGTTTGTTTCTCTGAAAAATTTTAACTAATATGCTATTTTGTAAATGACTATAATGGATTACAAAAAGGTAACATTTCTGGAAAGGTATAAAAGACCAGACTTAGGATCCTAGATTCTGGTTCTTTCAGCACTCAGATATGTATCTCCTTTATAGCATCTTGTATTTAAGCTGACTCTTAAAATTTCTTCAACATATTTCTGATAGTTTTCCTTTCTTGCTTAGGGACAGAAGCTGATTAATGTCACTAGTTCTAATACTGATAGCATTAGATCTTGCACTCAAGAGGACATTTAGAAGAAATGTAAAATCCCTGAGTAATTTAATCTTCCATTTAAGAGGATACCTTATGCCTCATCACCATTAAATATTAAGTAAGATATCAAGTACAATCTACAGTTGTATACTTATTGATTTCCAATTTCAAACCATACAAAAAGAGTGACCAAGTATATTATTCACTGTGCTCAAAAAAGATGGCATGCTCCTTCTGCCTAATTTCTGGATAAATTTAATAAAGTATTCCTATTTGTTTTGCAATTAAACACCAGAGTGTCAAATTTTCTGAGGGAAAAAGAGCAAAAACAAATGTTATCCAAATACTTAAAGCAAGCAAAGATCTGTAAGGCCAAAATCTTAACTCTTAATTCCCTCATTGCTTTTTATTTCTGCTTTCAGTCTTCAAGTGTTCAGTCACAGATGGGAAAACTTGGCACAAATCATAGGTAGATGATTAAATGAAGGTGAAAATGTAAAATTGGTTATATTCAGTTTCAGAATGCTGATCTTTCTGGTGAATAAAATCCAATAAGCTTGCAACAACACAAACCAAAGTATTAGTAATTTTCTTCTTTTTAATCTTTTGTGACATGCTTAATTTTTAAAGCTCTCAAATCGTCAGCTAGTAACATTTTCCCAGTAGCATTATTAATTAGATTACTAATAACAAAAAATGACACAAAGCCTTCTTTTCTACAGCCAATTAATATAAACAGATAATTTTTCAATTACCTAAACTCCCAAATAATATCCAAAGCAGTATTTTAAAATTTTACTGAAGCCCAGAGTTAAATACAATGCTTAAAAATTATTTTTTTGGGATCCGTGCTGTGGCGCAGTGGGTTAAAGCCTTGGCCTGAAGTGCTGGCATCCCATATGGGTGCTGTGGTTCGAGTCCCAGCTGCTCCACTTCTGATCCAGCTCTCTATTTTGGCCTGGGAAAGCAGCAGAAGATGGCCCAAGTCCTTGGGCCCCTGCACCTGCATGGGAGACCCAGATGAAGCTCCTGGCTCCTGGCTTTAGATCGGCGCAGCTCTGACCATTATGGCCATCTGGGGAGTGAACCAACAGATGGAAGACCTCTCTCTCTCTGCCTCTGCTTCTCTCTCTGTGTAACTCTGAATTTCAAATGAATAAATAAATCTTAAAAAAAAAAAAAAACAGCCTGAACTTGTTTCTCATTTTTACAATGGAGATACTACTTACTTACTTTTCTTTACATTTTATAAGGATGTTAACAAGAAAACAAAACATACTGAACTTTGGGTTCTCAGAAAAGATTATTAATGGAGAGGAGAAAAATATCCTTCTCTAAATAATGTACATGTACAGCTTTTACATCATGGCTTCAACCTCTTGAGGTGTGCTGGACCCACGACTGAAAATTAATTTGACTAAGAATATTTTTTAACTTTGAAAGATTTCTTTTCTTGGTTGAATTTTCCCTGCCCAAGTAACAAATTATCACTGTAAAATCAAGGAAGATGTATTTATTAAAAACTTAAGAAAGCTTTTTTGTAGGTTAAAAAGGCAAAGTTCTAAAAAATAAATAGGGATCTAGACAATGTCACATACCAAATATAGTGAAAACTGAAATCTGGAATGACAGCTACACCATTTATGTGACTTCACAATACAAACAACTGTTCCCCATATTTGTTTAATTAAATTAACTAAACTCTGAATTCTAAAAGTCTTTCACAAAGCAAAATTTGAACAAACTCATTTGATAACGCTCTGTTCAGGACACTAGTTATATCCAGGTAACACTCAACAGGAATAAATCATCTAAGGTGTACCATTAAGAGAATCTAATATTTAATATGTGAGAATTTCTGTGCTATCCTGAATACTATAACAACTAGGTAAAATATCTTAAGAAAAATATTAATATATCTAATCCTCCCCAAAAGGATGAGGCTAATGTACTTTTCCAACAGAATCAGAATGCCAAGAGAGAAAAGTACAGGCCCTAAATTTCTTTTGTAACAGCAGAATAAGAACTAAAGTCACTGTTCAATCTGTCCACTTCTCAATCCTTTACTCAGTAGGGCTTACCCATTTCCCTACCTCACTTGTTTTTGCAAACTTCTGGCATTTTCTCTTTCTCAGCATCCATGTTCAAATCATTTTGTATAACTCCTTCACCAAATATAAAAGCCTGAGGTCTGAGCCAAACAAATTTTAGTAAGTCTTAAGGCATCCTTCCATAGTTTATGCACTTTTTGGTTTATTTCTTTACAAAAACTAGAAGATTACAAAATTCTTATTTTTTTGCAGATTGATTTTATTTTTTCACTGGTTTAAAAATTTACTTTCATTTTATCATCACAAAATTTCTTTGAAGTAGGTGCTACCTCCTTTCTATAGAAAACTGAGTTCAGATTAAGATCCAAAGCCACAGAACTTGTAAAGAGGCTGAGTCGAGGTTCAAACTCATATCTGTCCAGTTCCATGCAGCCCATGTGCTTCATTACCTCTTGTATCCAGTATCAAACTAGATAGAAATAATTTCAAATTGTATGATGGAAGAAATTCCTATCTGAAGTGGTCATACTTTAAAAAATTCATTATCTGATGATGTTAAAAGTTCTAAGGCTACAAATTCAAGATCATCCAATACTAGTGTCACCCTATACTCTTAGAGTAAGGATGAAACTTAATAGGGAAAGGGTTAGGTCAAAACCAACAGCCTTCATTTTACATTGTAATTAGTTCACTTGTTTAAAATTGCAAGGTTCTGTTTCAGTAAACTACTCAATAGAAATACACATTTAGCTAAACCATGTAATAACGGAATTAGCAAATTAAAGTATTCAGATACCCAAAGCCAGCTGGAAAGTGATTAGCTATGCAAACAATTGGTAATGACCATTAATTTCTCAAACACCTCAACATGTAAAAAATATTAAAGTAATGATGTCTAATCATTTCAATTAACACAGACTTTGGAAATATTTCCAATTGAAAATTGTTTACTTACCAAAAAATAGCTAGAGAAATTCAGTTTGTAGATTCTGATTTTGTTCAAATTATTTTTAAAATAATCATGGACCAAGTGTTATGTACAAGCCCTCGGGTTGAGGAAAGATGAAATTTAGCACAGGACACAATTTAAGACTAAGGAACAACCTGGATATCAAGCTACAGCTCTATGGGCTGCTTCAAGTCAAAATAAATCTTGATGGATCTTCTCTGAAAAAGTTTGCACCAGAAAAGGTTAAAAGAGAAAGGCTGTGGGGGACAAATATTCTCCCTGAAAAACCTGCTCCACAGGAAAAGTGAAGTGCACATTTGTGAGACATTAGAAGCAAATAAATACAATTACTATAAATCAATAAACAGACACTTCTTGTTGTAGAAAAACCTAGAACCTAAACCTAAATTCATCTCACAACCTCACCACAGGTCTTTTAGTATCTGTTAAATGAGGCCCAAATTTGCTTTTTCTAATTCTTTTTTTTCCCTAACCTTTAATTCACTGTATTCTTACCACAAGTTGAAGTTTCAAATTCTGCTAGCTCTTTCCTGCAGTAAAAACTTTATTTCAATCTCCTAGGTCTCTGATGGATAAAATCAACAGACTTTTTTTTCCTGAAGCTTAAAAAAAAAAAAAAAGCAAACTCCTATATTTCTGTTTAACCTTCTTTTCAAATCACTATAGAGATAAAAATTGAAGAAGTTATGGAAGAGTTAATTAATTAATGACTGCTTACCTACATGCTATTTACCTTTGCCAAAACCTCAAGTTGATTAATTTCTCTAAATATAAATGAACTTACTGAGAGAAAGAGCAAGCTTAGCAAACTTTACTATGGTACCGTTTGGAGTTTTCCAAAGCATTATAAAAAAACGCAGCTAACCAACAAATCAAGTACTACATATCACAGAGATGCCTTCCATAGGAAAAAAAAAAAAAAAACAAAAAACTTAAGTTGCATTAGAAGCCTCCATAGCAATGTCAGATGAAATAAAGAAAATCAGTAAATACCTGAACTGAAGTGGCTGATTCCTGTAAACGGCCACTGGCAACTGTTCCTTTGGAAGCTGCTACAGGGGCACTGTGCGATTTAGGGGTTCTTGGAGTATCAATACTTTCATCTGTCCTATGTGACTGCCAGGCTTCCTTTCGATGATGAGATTCAGTAGTCTGCTGGTCTCCAAAAGCAGCCCAAGAGCAACCATCTTTCTCTTCATTCTCAAAAGCATTCCAGTCCACAGCCTGGCCAGGACCCGCTGAACTGAAGTCCGCAAAATCATCAGAGTCTTGAAAAGCACTGCAGGCCTCTTGAGTATCTGGCACAGAGTCAAAATCTCCAAACTCACCTTCTTGCTCATTTTTCAGTTTTAAAACCGGTTCAGTGCCTGTTACACTTGACTTTCTTGCCAACTGACATTCCTCTGATAAACTGTCAGAAGTCTGTCTTAGGTCTGACTCAGTAAATATCATTTCCTCTTGGCAAGAAACAGTGTTCGTATCCCCAAATTCTCCAAAGTCATCACCTGGTTCACTAAAATGTGGAAAGTGCTCTGAGGACTCTTCAAAAGTGACATCGCTCATTGAATCTTGGGTACCAGTAACATAAGGTGGAGTTGTGCCACTGGCTGTGCCAAAGTCACCAAAATCATCCTCATTGGTATTGCAAGTCACAAAGTCATTGCTACTATCACCATTTTTCACACTTACACAATCATCCAAAACATTTTCTTCTGTGGGATCAATGTTTGGATTTTCAGAATTAGTAAATTTCCTACTTTCTTCTTTGGAAAAACCAACTGCATCACCAGCATCAGAAGTGTTAACAGAATCCATACACAGGTCATCACATTCAGAATTAGGTAAATCACGTCTTTCTTCAGCTTTACATTGTTCTCTCCGCATAGCTTCTGAGTTATCCGCTGAGTCTACCAAACTCCAAGTCTTGGACTGAGTACTTGAATTTAAAAATTCATCCTGTTGCAGTGCTGGAAATCCTCGGGGCTCAACACTGAAACCTCTGCTGGTCATTACACTTATTTCTGAAACACAAACCTGATCGTCGCCATCAGTGTCTCCTTTATTGTCACAGCTTCTACTCAAAGACACTTCTTTCACAGAATTCAGTTCACTGACTCTGTTAATTTTATTATTTTCCTGAATGGTAAGTGCTTCTCTATCACTTAAGACTGCATATCCTATTTCTTCCAGTTGTATCCTTTCCTGTTTGGAAAATGTGGCAAAATCTGCAAATTCCTCAGCAGGACTAGGTGCAGAGTCAATATTATACTCAGTGCTGTGAGTGCTAAGAGGCTTCTGTCCCTTTGAATCAGCTATATTGTCCAGATCATCTGTTCCCTGAGGATTTACAGTTTCCAACCCTGCAAACCCATTTGTTAGAATCTCCAGACAAGGAGGCTTCTCGCCATTGCAGCTCTCTAACCTCTTGTTTTCATGAACATTCATGTCAGTTCTAAAATCTGGAGAGAAACTTTCCGGTGTTCCAACATTCTGTCTCTGCTCCATTACTTTATTTAAAACTCCTGGATTTTCGGGAGAATCTAGAGTTTTAGATGAAATTACTTCTTTGCTGGTGGTAGAAAGTAAGACATCAGACTGTCCTTTCACAGGAGAAGGTTCAGCAGTGATGTCCTTATCATTACCATTTTTAATGGACTTAAAGCTTGTAAGGCTATCTACATTTTCTGAGAAATCATGAATTGGCATAAAATGGTTTGAAGGTACAAACTCTTCCTTGGGACGAGTATAATCCGGTGTATCAAAATCAACAAACCCTACACCAGAAGGACTAACTTCTGAAAACCCACCAAATTCCCCAAATTCATCCTCCTCTTCCTCCTCTGCTCCATTGTCTAGTGGTGGTGGGGATGAAGAATACATTCGAATGATGTCTGGCTCCATTGCTGAGTTGTTTTCAAATAATTAATTTATACCTGTAAAAAAAAAAAACATAAAAGGAGTTTTTTGGGGAGGGGGCTGATAACAATTAAAATGTCTTCCAAAGTTTTCTCAAAGCTACTTTAAAAACAATGTAAATTTATACTACTCAGTTTTTTATTTTTAAACTATTTTTCACTTAGATGAGATTACATAGCTATGATATAATGGGAAAAAATTCTCTCTTCTAATATATGTTACCAAGGGCACTGGTAGTACATTAAGGAAATTTAGGGATTCCAGAAAATTTTGAACATATTCTTACAAAAGTACACTTGAGAAATTTTCTACTTGCTTGTTTTGCTAAATATTCTGTTTCAAATTCACTGAGGACTCAGTACTTGCCTTATGCGTTTGTATGAGTGCTTTATAAAATAAAAGACATGACAGTATATCTATACTGCTACAATATCTCTACTTGCTCTCAATGTTGTTCTGACCTGTTATTTAAAAATTTTAAAAGATTTACCATATTTTTTATAAGTTATCTTTTTAAAAATTTTTTTCTTTCTTCTCCCTCCCTTTCACCCTTTCCCATTTCCCTTCCCTTTTTTGTTTTTTTTTTTTTTTAATTTCTTTGAAAGGCTGAGAGACACGGAGATCTTCCACCCACTGGTTCACTACCCAAATGATTGTGACATCCAGGGCTAGGCCAGGCCAAAGCCAGGAACCTAGAACTCAACCCAGGTCTCCCATGTGGGTTGCAGGGACCCAGGTCTTAAGCCATCACCTGCTTCCTCCCATGGTGCACATTAGCAGGAAGCTGAATCAGAAGCAGAGAAGCTGGGACTCAAGGCACTCTGACATGAGATGTGGGCATCTCAAGTGGAAATTTAAATGTTCTATCAAATGCATCCATCCCCAGTTAACTTTTTAATACCTTAATTGTGAAATGGTTTAAGATTCATAAGAAATTGATAAACAGTATAGAGCACTTGTGTATATTCCACCCAGCTTTCCCCAGTGATAATCTTATGATCACAGGGCTGACTGGGAGTAGAAACTTACTGCTGCTGTACAGCACCATGAGAGACTACCATATTACATATCACTAGTCCAAGAAAAGAGCAAAATTCAAAGTATGGTTTCTATTGAACACATATCACTCATGCCACTGTCAAGCTGAAAAATCCCAAGTTAATCCATAATAACACAGGGACTGTTGGCACATGGTTAAATGATGAAACTGACAAAAGTGCAATACATTACCATGAAATCCCTTTGTGTGGGTATCACCAGTTTTGTTGGTGTGTGTGTAGTTTCATGAAATTTTATTCCATGTGTAGATTACATTAGAGTAACCACTACAACAATCAGAATAAGAACCATTCCTTTAACAAAAAGCTCTTTCATGTTACCTCTTACTACTTACATACTTCCCGTAACACTAACCCTTGCAAAACACTGATCTAGTCTTTGTCATTCTAATTTTGCTATGAATGCTACATAATTGATATCACATCATATGTAATCCCGTGAAGCTGGCTTTTTTCATTCAGCCTAATGCTCAAGAGCCACAAGGCTGTTGTATATATCATTAATACAATCCTTTTTATTGTTCAGTAGTATTCCACTATATAGATGCATCACCAACTGACTGTCCAGTCACTCCTTATAGGATGTCCATTTGGATTGTTTCCAGTATCGTCCTACTACAAATAAAGCTACTATGAACATTTGGGTACAAACTGTTATGTTTTCATTTCTCTAAGACATCATACCCAACAGTTTGAATGCTGGGTCATATGGTATATTCAGTTTTATAAAAAACCGCCTGTTTTGTCAAGTTAATTTTTATGGGGTTGTTAGGTAGGAAGTCAGAAATGAGCTGATGTGTGTGTGACAAAGGCCTAACGAATTGACATCTAGGTCCAGCAAAGGCCAGCCAGGCTTCCCCTGTCTGATAACTTCAGGGGGAAAACTCAGAAAGGAATTTTTTGTATTTACATCCAACAAGTCCTTTGTTCTGGAGGAGAAGGAGGAGAGGGGGAGGGAAGGCAAGACCCATCCCCTTAAAAACCCCAGCCTAAATGTGCACTGCGCACTCTCTCTCAGGTTCTGTCTGCAGAGGTGCCCATCCGTTCTTACGGATGTCCCTACCCTAATAAACCTTGCTATTTTGCTTTCCACTGCTCTCTGTCTCACGCCTGAATGCTTTCTTGCATGAAGACAAGGACCCTTTGCTTCTCTAGTAACAGAGTCAAATCAATTGATCTTTTTATTTGCAATTTTCTTCATTATTTTGCTATTATATAAGCATAAAACTTCACAAATATTCAGTTTTATTTTTTTCTTTTAGTTCTCTTTGAAATTTGGAAAAAAATTATTTGAGAGGCAGACAGACAGAGAGTTCCCATCTGCTGGACTTGAACTCAGCCCACTCCAATATGGGACGCAGGCATATCAACTTGCAGCTTAACCACTAGGCCAAACACCCACCCTTACAATACTTAATTTTAAAAAACATGTGTGATGTCTGAAAAAAATGAAATAATTGATTGTTCAAGGCCTATTTCAAACTCAGCTGTTAATACAAAGATCTGCATCAGGAACTTTGTGACTAAAGCAATAATACAGAGCAAGTTTCTTCATGTTGACCTTGTCAAGTGCTTTATTTCCCCTTCTAGGTGGCAAAGGCTCTATCAGCCTTCCAGACATTTCTGTATTTCCCAAAAACAGAGTCACCTATTCATATGTGGAACTTGGGCTGTTACATGTTCCCCTCCAGCAGGTTTTGCCCCTGCCCAACTCACCCTTCAGAAATTTGAGAGTGCCACTGCTTCTAAGTTTCAGCCAGCCAACCAGCATGGAGGAAGCTCAAAACTTCCCAGATAACTCCTCTGTGTTCAGGCCAACTCAACTTAAAGGAGCTTTATGTTAATTTATTGTTTTTGTTTTTTTGTTTTGTTTTGTTTTTTGACAGGAAGAGTTAGACAGTGAGAGAGAGAGACAGAGAGAAAGGTCTTTCTTCCGTTGGTTCAACCCCCAAATGGCCGCTACTGATAGGAAGCCAGGAACCAGGTGCTTCCTCCTGGTCTCCCATGTGGGTGCAGGGCCCAAGCACTTGGGCCATCCTCCACTGCCTTCCTGGGCCACAGCAGAGAGCTGGACTGGAAGAGGAACAACCAGGACAGAACCAGCGCCCCGAATGGGACTAGAACCCGGGGTGCTCGCGCCACAGGTGGAGGATTAGCCTAGTGAACCACGGCGCCGGCCATGTTAATTTATTTGTAAAATTAATTTGCAAATGATGTTTGACTTAGATAATCCACTCTTTTTTTAAACACAGGAAATACGTGTTTAAATAGCTAGACCAACAGTTAAAAAGATGGGGAGTGGGAAAGAACAGAGTAATATGCTACTTTAATGTTGTCTCTGACATACAGCAAACTCAACGACGTTTCATTCTTCTTAATGACTACCTGCACCACACCACAAGGTGTTCCAATCAGTTGTTGGATTTCTTTAGAACCTGAGCAAATAAGCACGCATGTGCCTGTGCATGTGTGTTTATGAAGAGGGGATTGTACTCTACTTGATATCTTTATTTCTGCTTAGTACCAGACCTGTAAGAGAGGTGAAAACAAGTACTGGGGCTATCATCTTGGCAGCCTGGGAACATTCAAGCTACATTATACACAAATAGTTAACATAAATCCTTGTGACTAGGTAGGTGGTAAAGAGGTATCCTGAACATAGTGAGAGCAGACAGAGAAATTGGGCAGGCTTCCTGGATTGTGGAGATTCGTCCACGGGAAATCACACTTCACAAGAAGACTAGGGGACAGTACAGGTGACTACAGTAATTGAAAATGCAGGCTAAAGCATTTAGGGCTTTACAAACCAGGAAAACTACAAGGTTTGGGAAATCTGGTGTAGGAGGTCCAAACAAAGGAGCCAGGGGCATAATCTAGAAGTCCAGGAGCAACAGCAATCAACAGTGTAACTCAAGCCCTGGGCCAGATTAAGAGCCAGGGTACAGGGCATACTGGGTGAAGGTGTTAATCTTTCACCAGAAGAGAGCTGCACTTGTTTAAAGGACATCAACTCTGAACTGGTCATAAAAGAGATGATATGAGGACTCTGTAGGTTGAGAGCTCTGTGGTCAAGAGGCAAAAAGAGTTTGGGAAGGATGAACAAAGAAGGAATGGAGCCATCGATCATCTGAGACTTCTGGCCATTTAACAAGTTTCTCAGGAACAGAATTAGAGAACAAACTACCAAATATCAAGACTTGGTTTAAAGCCACACATTATATGATAAGAAAGATGCCACTACAGTGTGGTGGGGGAAAGGACAGCCTTTCCAACAAAAGGTGCTAGATTAACTGGCTATTCCCACAGAGGGGAAAAATCTTTGATTCTAACATCTTACACAAAAATAAGCTCAAGATAGAGCACAGGCCTAAATGTGAAAGATAAAAAATACAATAAAAATCAATCATCTAGAAGATAACTTGAGATTATTTTCATGACCTTAGGGAAGGCAAAAATATTTCAAACAAGACACAGAAACCACTAAACATGAAAGAAAAGATTGACAAATTGGGCTGCATTAAAATTTAAAACTTCTGTTCATCAAAAGAACATCATTAATACACAGTGAAAAGGCAAGCACTGCCTGGGAGAAGAGATCTTCAATACATGTATAACTGTCAAAGAACGCAAATCCAGCTTTATGTGAATAATTCCTACAGATTAACGTGAGACAACTCAACAGAAAAATTGCCAAAATATTTGAAAAGTTATTTCACAAAAGAGGCTATCCAAATGGCCAATAAATGTATGAAAATTATCAGGGAAAGGCACAATAAAACTACAGTAAGATACCAATGTATATATTAAGATCTAGAACAGCTAAAATTAAAATACAACTATTCTAACCATAGCTACTTCTCACATGGATGTGGAGCAAGTGGGATTCTCTCATACTTTATTGCTGGGTGTATAAACTGATGTATGCATTTGAAAAATTGAAAATATTTACCACTAGATCT